AATAAAAATAAATTTTTAAAACCAATAAATCTATTTTTGCAATTTGCTCAAAAATGCATCCATTTATCTATTTCTAAAACATAAAACTAAAAATATGAAGGGAAAATGGAAACTAATAATCCAACCTTTTAGCGGTCTTCTTACAATAGTCCCACCTTTTCATTATTCATGAATAATCCAACCTTTGCACCCCATCTTCATCCACTAGTCCCTGACCGATTTATGACATGTTATTCCAAGTTATTTTCTTATCTTTGCAAAACATTATGTGATCGTAAGGTGGGAATTATGGTACAATGTTTTACAAAGATATGAAAATAACTTGGAATAACAGGTCATAAATCGGACACGACCAGTGAATGAAGATGGAGTGCAAAGGTTGAATTATTCATGAATAATGAAAAGGTGGGACTATTGTAAGAATAACGCTAAAAGATTGGATTATTAGTTTCCGTTTTCCCAAATATGAATGCTACGGTACCCCACACATAAATGAGAGTATTGTAGCTACAATGCATTTGATTGGTCCAAGTCCTTATTTTATCATTTGTTTATGTTTGAACTACTCAATTGTCATATTCTAATTGGTTCACGTGGACAAAGTAGAGTACCTAGAGGGTACAGTAGAGTTTGCCAACTAAAAAATCTAAACATATGACAAAAATTTCAGAAATAATAACCATTTTTCATTCTCATTTGCGTTTTTACGTCGCAAAACTAAACAGAAGAAAATAAGTTTCCTTGGCATATTCCCACTTCCCTCCCCCAAGCATTTTTCAGGATCCAAACATGCACTTACTCTTTTAAATGCACAAAACATTAGGCAGTTTTTTGGCTGTTTTGATATCTAAACAATTCCTCCCTTCTCAAAGTACAAATTTATTACCCACAGGCCGCAACAATTGAAGAACCAAAAACCTCCCAAATTTTTCCCTCTTCTATAGTTTTTCACACCACAAGTAAAAAACAGAGATTGAAGAAAACAGCACTTTTGAGACTTCAATGTTGAAATCTGAACAGCAAAAGGTAATGCATACCCCCATCTCAATATTTCCAGGGACGGACAACGCTGCAAGAGTTCTGAAACGCCTACCGATGTAACTTTGCTGCACAGACTGGACAACACACATCAAACCCAGATTTAGATTTGCTTAATCTAGTGCCAAACCGATAACAATAGACAAAGCATATGCAGCTTCAAGAATAACAAGTAAAAACAATGTCTACATATTAATATAATATATGTGTAGAATTTGGTTCAAATATAAAGTACTACCCCCGTACCCCTAAGATAGGTACACAAAGAAGTGATGTGGTTATTAAGAAAAGTAGGTTTGTGTGGTCAATATTAATTGATAAAGTGAGAAAAAAGTAGAAACAATTTGGTTCAAGAATAACAAGTAAAAAACAATGTCTACATATTAATATAATATATGTGTAGAATTTGGTTCAAATATAGAGTACTACCCCCGTACCCCTAAGATAGGTACACAAAGAAGTGATGTGGTTATTAAGAAAAGTAGGTTTGTGTGGTCAATATTAATTGATAAAGTGAGAATAAAGTAAAAACATTTTAGAACCACCACACAAACATTGCCAAATTTGGTATCGGACAATCTTAGGGGGACAATCCAAAAATAAAAGATGAGGCAATCTTAGCAAGACGGAGGGAGTAGCTCTTAGATGAAAAGAGTTAATCTTGATTATTGATGTTAATAAATGTTAGAATGAGATCAATTTATTACGATAAAAAAGTGAAAAGTGTATTAGAATATACAAAAAGTGTATGTGTACTTCAAAAAAATGCATCAAAATTTGAAATACAATGTGCATAACTTCACAGAATTTCATAACTGTTTTTAACGCTCAAGATTACACTATATATAAACGTTGCCCTTATATCATAAAAGATTGCACATCAAAGTTCCACATATTTACAATTTTCCACTCTGACTTTTGATTAAATATTCATCTAATCAATTCATCTTCAAGTGAATAAAGGCCTAGATTTATTGTCATGTTCCATGGAAATCCTGCAATAAACTTGAACCTTCCCCTATATGTATATATGTATATCTATATGAATTTTGCACCTGAATCTAGAGTTGTCAATCCCGTATATCAGAGAGGAGTGGCCTACCTCAGAAACGCAATAGCGGTAATAGCGGGTAGTGGGATGACCGCTAGTTGTATAACTTTTATGCAGAATAATAGATTACACGTATACATATAATTACATACAATACACATCAAATCCATAAATGGCAAGTTTTACTCAAACTTCATGACATTCACATTATATTATCTCTAACTATTTCAATTTTAAACATGATAAAGGTTATCTCCTGTGACCTTTAACAAGGCAGTAGGCTCCATACTAAACAAGCTCATAGACTAGTGTTAGATGACTAAGAGGAGTTGAAACTTGAAAGTGGAAGAAGAAGAAAACTAGTAGTGGAAAGTAGTTGAAGAAGAAGGTCTCTGGCCGTCATCAACGATTTTCTTGTTTGGTGTGTAGTTTTTTAGCCACAATGCTGGTTGTTGAAGAAACAGAAAAGAGATGACTAAGAATGATATTTTAGAAGACTGGGATCGGTTTTACCTATTTCAAAGGGTTCTAGTGGGGTTACTTTATATTCTAAGAAGCCTACTTTACCCATTTAAAAAAAATAAAAAACAAAAAATTACCCCAAAATTCTCTAATCCTGCGTAGGCAACTAATTCAATAGCACCAGCTACTAACACTGTAGCGGCTACTATTTAGTTCACTGTCAAAATTTTAAAATGTGTTACATTCAGATACTTTTGTCATTGTATTTTCATCGGAAGCTCTTCATATTTACAATAATGCCACCTTTTTTATTGAAATTTTGATCTCATCCATCCATTTAGTCACATCAATGATCAAAATTAGTTCTCTTCATCCAGTAACTACTTTTTAGACTATCCAAATTATATACGATAGTACTACGTAATGTCTTGTCTACCTTTCCTTTCTTGTTTCTTTTATCGTTTATCTTCCTTATCTTTTTATATTCTTATGTTATTTTTAGCTTCTAGCTTTTTTATGTTCTTTTATTTATTTTTCTTTTATCTTGGTTATATTCTTGTGTTATTATTATCTTATATTTATGTATCTTTATTTTATTCATTTTATCTTACTTTTGTTTCCTTTTCTTGTCCGCCTTCTCTTTTTGGCATCGATATCATAGATCGATTCATGTTAGCCGACCCCAAATTCTTTTGGGATTAAGGCTTGGATGTTGTTGTAGTACTACGTATGTGTTTGCGCATGTGTGAACACAAAAAAATATAATCAAACATGGTGGTAAAAAATGATGTCACCATGTGAGGTATGATGGGAGGACAGAAATCCAGAAACCATTTGCAACTCAGAAATGAATGCAAACCAAAAGCTAACAGAGACTGCTACACATCTATTAATGAATTTACAAAACCAACAGAATAATTACAATGTCAATACTGATAGTCTGATACAATGCTATACCTTATATCTACTGCTTTTAGATATTTGCAAGTCTTTACCACTTCCAAGAGACCGAAATCAGAAACATCAGAACCGGATATATCAAGAATTTCCCATGAACTTTCAGCTAATGCCATAATGACATCGTCATTTAATAACTTCCTCCTCCTTGCAACTGCTGCAATTATAATCTGTGAAAGATAAAAACTTATCACTTGGTATGACAATACACAAGTAAGATCTAACAATATTCAGACCTCTTTGGAAGTCTTCGCCCTACTTAAAATATCAATTGAGAAAGTTCATGTATGAACTGACTAGCAATTATTACAGCACAAAGTTCAATTTCACAATCATGATACCTGATGGAACTTGTCCGTTCATATTTTCCAAGAAGGTATCTTCTTTATCACATAATTAATGTAATTTCTTGACAATTTAAAAAGCTTATGGTTTCGATGCACAGGATGGATGAGAGAAAAAACCTTGATATTTGGGGGGAAACTAGAGGCAATTTCGGCCAAGTCCTCGATAATATCCTCTAAATTTCTACCGACAACTCCAATACACAAATTCAATAAGCTCGGAATCTGTCTCTTGCTAATCCGCAACACTGCCACCCCATTCATGGCGCACAATAGTTAATTTTCTCAAGCTGAACTCTATTTGGCAACAAACTTCCGGAAACTCGCCAAATTTATAGAAACCAAAGCATTCAAATATAAAATTTTGCATATAAAATCATTCAGTCCATAGCATAAAGTGAACGAGAGGCGTACGTGAAGATTGGAGAGGATTCTGCAAGGGCTTCTTCAAGAGCTTTTGCATAGGCTTTTTTGTAATTAAAGCCTCTTGAGCTCTTCCTTTTTCCATTGACTGGGAAAGATGAAGCTGGTCGCAAAAATCGAATTCCATATTGCTTGGGGATTGTTTGACAAGAGTCACCGAAGAAGGAATTAGATTTTAATTCCAGGCCTCACTGCTTTCTTCCGAAGTAGGGCGTAAATCAGTCGAACCGAGGGAACCTACATAAGCTCGAAATAGAGCTTGCTTTTTTTCAAACTCGACTTCGACTTGAAAATTGAAATCTACAGAAAGTCAGAGATTATCCGAATCAAATTTTTATCAATTTGTCTCGGGTACACAAGATGTACACAAATTGTACTTCATATAAAACCTCAAAAAAATTACCATTCCATTTACTCCTACCTTCTTTCCTCTTTCTTTCCCTGGCACTCCCCCTTCCCGTTACCTATTTTCGCACTCAAAGAATCAGAACAAAGGAGCATTGTTCACTGAAGCTCTTCTTCCTCTTATTCTCTGCACAGCTCGACGGAGTAAGAGGTAACCAGAGTGTTGAGGAATGGATTACAGTCCCGAGGAGATGGCCTTCATCAGTAGTTACGACATGGGCGAGTTTATGGGTTTTGAAGGAGACAAATCCGGTTCTGAACCTCCGACGACCCAAGATGAAGGTGAGCCCAGTACGAAAGACGTACGAGATGGAGAGGAAAAGCTAATTCAGGACATTGATGATGAAGAAGGTACGTCGAACGTAATGTCTGTGTACACAGACATTTGGATGTTTCAGCCCCCGTACACTACGTACTAAATGTTTGTGTTGTTATTGCCTGTCCACAGACGTTTATATGAGTTCTCATTATTTGTTATATATGGCTTCACTCAGATCTGGATAACACAAATGTAGATGGTGATACACAAATGTAGATGGTGGTACACAAGTGTGAAATGCCTATGACACCGGAAATATTTGTCTGGCCACAGACATTTACCCACTGGAATTCCATGTTCACCCAAGTGTGAAATGTCTGTGAGACCGGATAAATTTGTCTGGCCACAGACATTATCTCACCGGAAGTTAGGGGTTCAGTTGTGATTCTTTATTCTTTTATAATTGTGTGATTTGCATTTTTTATATATTTGTTCCGATTTTATGTCTATTGTGTATGTTATAACTTTGAATAATTGATTTATTCGTTTAATTGTAAGAGATATGAAGGGTTAATTATTGAAATTTTAGAGTAATTACTCTAGTTCATTTATGCCCATAACATGTTTGTTGAAATGACTCAATAAACCTTTTGTTCGAATCCACGATTTTGTTCTCGTTTTTGGTAATTTATTTATATTTCCATTTGTTGATTTGCATTCAATGAACTTAATGTTGGTTATTCATTAATGAGAAACTTGATTAAATTCATAAGTGAAATTAGCTAAATGTAAATAGTTCCAATTCATTTGTTATAATGCTTGTGAAATTAAAAGTTTATGTAACAATGATTTGAATGATTGGTACTGATGGATAGTGTAACACCCCGGCCCCGTAGGCCCCGAGGTAGTTACTTCTGACTTCTAGTACTGTCCTCACAAACCGCCACTAGCCTTTTCCGCGCACTTTGTCCTCACTCGTGCACGCCCTGAGAAACTTCCCAGGGGGTCACCAATCCCAAGACTACTCCCGTGCAAGCACGCTTAACTTTGGAGTTCTTGGCTAATGAGCTCCCTTAAAAGGAGATGCACCTTATTGGTATGAGTAGTACTATTAATCCGTTTAAATTAAATCTCAAGTGTTACAATCACCCCCACTTAGGAACGCAACGTCCTCGTTGCGCCCATAAACCAATCTCAATCATATCCCAGAATCTTTTCCCCTGCTAAGTGCCCGCCCGATATCCAACGGATCAACACACTGTCACAGCTCTGATACCACTTGTAACACCCCGGCCCCGTAGGCCCCGAGGTAGTTACTTCTGACCTCTAGTACTGTCCTCACAAACCGCCACTAGCCTTTTCCGCGCACTTTGTCCTCACTCGTGCGCGCCCTGAGAAACTTCCCAGGGGGTCACCCATCCCAAGACTACTCCCGTGCAAGCACGCTTAACTTTGGAGTTCTTGGCTAATGAGCTCCCTTAAAAGGAGATGCACCTTATTGGTATGAGTAGTACTATTAATCCGTTTAAATTAAATCTCAAGTGTTACAGATAGTCTACTCGGGGGTATGTATCCGAAGGGTTACTGCAGGGAGTAACTAGAGAGAAGTCAGAGCAAGTAAGAGAAAGAAAGTGTATTGAATATATGAGTTCAAAGCGTATTTAGAATCTGGTTTACAAAGGAGAAATGGGGTGCTATTTATAGTAGCAATAAATGCGAGACGGGGACACGTGTCAAGCATCCAACGGCCGAGGGGTCACATCAACCGGGTGTCACTGGCATTCGCATGTGGCCGCATTTAATGTGGCGGTTGGATGTGACATTGTACTTGGTACGGCGACCCAGACGCATGTGGAGAGGATATTCTTGTTGAGGAAGGTACCCTCGGCTGTAGATGATTAGTCGAGGGCTCTTCCTGTCGAAGGCCCCTTAAGGCCGAGGGCTCTAGGTGCCGAGGGCTACTGTTTTTTGCCGTTTTCTCCCAGTAACTTTGTATGCTAAAAATAGCCTTTCTGTGAGAATTTGGAGCCTTCGGCCAGGGGACCGAAGGCACCCCTGTGTGCTCCATGGGTTGCTTGGTACCCGGGGCGCTGCGATTTGGGCCTGATGTGCTTCCTGGGCCTCTTGGCTTTTATTAGGATAGTAGGAGTCTATGGGCCGGGGGTCCCCGGGCCATATACTCCATCAGGAGTCCCTCACTCCTTTTGCCGAAAGGTACTTGAGGGAAAGGAGTAATTTGTGCTTGTCCTCTGTCGTTGTTCCGTTGTAGCGTGTGAAGTTGTGAGGAGTTCTCTGTTTGAAAGTTTTTTCCGAAGGCAGTCCCTCAGTCCCCTACATTTTGGGATTCGAAGGGTTGCGTTGCTACTTTGGGGAGTTTTTGATATTTTGAGATTTTCCCGAAGGGGTTGTCCAGTCCCCCACTCCTTGAGGCACTTGTGAAGTGGTGAAAAGGAGTAGAGTATTGCCTGCTGTTGTAGGTGGCCTAAGGTTGACACTTTTCGTTTCATTTTGGGGGGATGCCTCGTTAAAAATCCCATTAGAAAAAACCCTGTGAGAAAAAATTCTAATGAGGGAAAAGAGTGCACCGAATTCCCCCAATGATGAATCGAAAAGTTGAAACCTTGGTCTGAGACTGAGGACAGTGTTGTAGCCGAAGGCTACCCTTGTCTGAGGGCGCGTGGTTTTGACTTTATCGAAGGCGCTTTGTAGATGTCCCGGGGGATGCCGAAGGGGAGTCCCTCAATCCATGGGGTTGAGGGCGTGATGAATGTAAGTGGTAGTGTTGCGTTGCCGGGGGGATTCTCTACATGTTGACAAGCTGGGGATGAGGGCACCCGGGGGTCCCGTTGTTGTATGTTGAAGGCTGTCCACCCAAGAGGGGCTTTAAATTTGATGTCCCCGAGGGGTCTCCTTATTGCGTGGCCGGGAATAGTTGGTGAAGGTTCCCGAGGGGTTTACCCGTCGTTAAGCCGTGGGTTCCTGGAGGAGAGAACCCGAAGGCACTTGTGATGTTGCATGAGGGGTACCGGCCGGGGGCACCTCTGTGTTTTCAAAATATAGCCGTTGAGATATGACCGTTGGAAGCGGAGTCCACGTGGCGTGTGCTCGTTGGCTGCCTGTGGGCGGGCGTCACCAATTGGGCAACTCGACGGTTCGTAATGATGATTTTTCCATCGGGCCCCAATTCCCGGCCCAAGCCCGGATTTTGGGTGCCTATAAATACCCCAAGGCCAAGGGCTGTTCTTCTTGTGCGATCATTGTAGCGAAGCTCTGGCAATTTGATTTCTAGAGAGAGAAAATCCCTTCGGTCAATCTACCAGATTCAAGGTCAGTCTTCGATCCACTCTCCGCCGTCTTCAGCATACTTTGCCTTCCTTTTCCTTTTGTCGAGTTCAATCTTTCGTAGCCTTAGGCTGAACGCTATAGTTCCTTAGGTAGCCCCATGTTGTAGAAACCCTCGTCACTTAGCCTTCGAGGATGTCTTCGCAAAGCGACTCACAGAACATCTCGAGGGAGCCTTCGATGGAGGAGGAAAGTATCTCAGACGTGGAGTCCACGAGTGAGCAACCATCGGCCGAGGATGATGCTGCAATGGCCATGGAGGTTCAGAAAGACCTCGTTGCTGAAGCCGAAGCTGAGGACTTCGAGCAGGTGATCGAAGACGAGGAGATGGCCCTCGCCGTTCAAGTTGCTGAGCAGGAGGAGCAGAAGGAGAGGTCGAAGGTTACTGTTGCCGTCCTTCCCCCCCGGAATGCGGGTGAGGCCAGCACCTCCCGGCCATTGAACCCTACGCCTCTCAGGGTAGCCCCCGGGGCGAAGAAGACGAAGAAAACGGAAGCTTCCAAGAAGAAAGGTGTTGCCGACCAAGGGAAGCCGGTTGGGATTCCCGAGGGGTATTCCTGTTTGAATACTACTGCCCTTGCGATAAATTCGAGGGCTGATCAGGATGATTGCTACGTGACGCAGTTGCACGTGGGGCCTTCAGCGGATGTGGTTGAGCCGGGTCCGAATGACATACTCTCCCGGTCTCCCGATGGGTGCTTCGCAGTCCACATCCTCTCCGTCTTAATGGGCCTTCGGTTCCCGTTGCACCCCTTCCTCCTGGAGTATCTTAGGTACGTTGGTCTAGCCCCCTGCCAACTTACCCCAAACAGTCACTCGTATGTCGCGCCCTTCCTGCGTCTCTGTGAATCCAGGGGGTGGCCCCCACTCTGGACCTCTTTTTCCAGAGCTTCAACCTGTGTCGGGGGGCATGCTAACTCCGAAGGCTATGCGAACCTTCAACAGATTGCCCCGTGGAGGCTCTTTGACGACGTACCCTCGTCCCAAAAGGGCTAGAGGGACCGGTTTTGTTACGTGAAGATGTCAGGTAATCCATTCCCGAGGGAACTGCGGGATCGTTTCAGGCGTCACCCGAAGGTGGGGAGTGCTGCCCTCGAGAAGGCCGGGAAGATCATCTATGCTATCCCCGAGGGGCGCAAAAAGCACATGATGGTCAAGGAGATGACCCTCGACGATGATTTGTATGGGTTGGGCTTCCGCCGTTTTCGTTTCTTAGGGGAGACGGACGCTAAGTACCCTGTCCTCGAACATTTTGTTGGAGATAGGTCTCCGAAGGCTCTGCCTTTTTGTAGTTAGGATTTTTGCGTAGATTAATTTCTTGTTTGACCCTCCGGTCTCATTCGTTTGCCTTATTTTGCAGGTGCTGAAATGGATCTAAAAAACTTCGCGGACTTTATGAAGAAGTCGACGAAGGAGCCAGAGAAGAAGGACAGGGGCGTCCAGAAACCCCTCGATGCACTCCCCAAGAAAGTTGGGGAACCTTCGGCTACTGCCCCTGCTGATGCTGCCGCCAAGAGGAAGCCAATAGGCAAAGGTCCGGGTCCCAAAGGGAAGAAACCCCGGAGAGGGGATGCTGAGAAGAAGGGCTCCCTGGTTGTGGTCGTGGGGGAGGTTTCTGCCTCCGGGCTTCATGTTGTGGCGGAGACCACTGCCTCTGGTCCTCCTTCGGCACAGAGGGGGGAGGGGGGCCTACCCCGGGAGGACATACCTTCTTCCCTTCTGAGGGGGACCGTGGATCCGGTAGAGTTCCTCCGAGGTGCTACTCCCTCATTCGACAGGGCCGCCCTTGGCAGGCTTGAGGACGAAGCCCTCGAGTCCAAGATCCTCCGATCTTCCCTCACTGTGAGTTGTCTCCTTTGTTTCCGCTTTTCTTTAGAGTACTTTGTATGGGGTCCTGATTCCCCTGTTATCTCCAGGCTTGTATTTCCCTCAGTGAACAAGCTCGAAAGCTAGAGGAGTGGCGCCTTCAGAGGGCCCAGGATGCTGAGAAGATGACAAAGCTGGTTCACGACAACCATGACGCTGTGAGGCAGATAGCCCAACTGGAGGAGGACCTTCGGCAAGCGAGGGAGGAGGCCGAGAGAGCCAGGAAGGAGAAAGACGAAGCTGCCAAGGTTGATGCCGAGGCTGCACAAAAAGCCGTTGATGAGGCCGAGGCTGCAAAAGTGGAAGCCGTTGTCCGAGCCCAGGAGGACGTTGTCGCCGCCTTTCATGCTGAGGGGTGGAAAGCTGGGGGCGAGGAGGAATGGGTTGCCTCGGTTGTTGCGGCCTCGGTGGATGACTGGGTTAAGGGCCCCGGGGTTGAGTGGATGGCCCAGAAGGGCAAGAGTTATTACGAGGGCGGTGAGTATTTCACCCAAGCCCTCGTTGACCGGAGGCTCGCCAGGCATTTCCAGGTTGATCCGGAGAAGTTCGACGCTGCAGCATATGGCCTCCCCCCTCTGCAACCAGACATTCATGTTCCCCTCCCCTCGGGCGAAGAGAGGCCGGTTCTTGAAGACTCAGTCCTAATGGCGGAGGCACCGAGTGATGATGATGAAGGGGCCGAGGGGGATGTCTCCTCTAAGCCTGTCGAGAGTGTTTCTGTTGAAATGGTTGATGATGTCGTGATTGTATGATTTGAACATCTTTTGTATAATCATGTATGTAACTTTCGGCTTCGGCCATGATTGCCAGCAACTTTTACTCCCTGTTTATGAATGAATGCCTGCCTTCGGGCCTTTTATACATAATTTGCTTTTTCTTTGAATGTATGCCTTCATCTTTTTTTCGTTAATGCATGCCTTCACACTCTGATGTTTTAGCTGTTAGTTATTTAGGACATAGAGACATTTTCTTCCATCGGGCCTTCGGTTGTGTGGCCCCTCGGGTTGCATGGGGGTTTGACCGAGGGACAAATATTCAGGACTTAGAAATTTTTTCTAAGTGTAGTTCTTCCACCAAACCTTCGGTTACCATGGTCCCTCAGATGCATGATGATTGGGCCGAGGGCCCAATTTTTAGGACTTAGAAAATTTTCCTAAGTGTAGTTGTATGAGATAGGAGCCTTCGAGTGAATGTGAGAGCCTTCTTGTAGGTGTGCCTTCGGTTGACCGGTGACTTGACAGAGGGCAAAGCATTCAGGACTTAGGAAACATTTCTCTAAGTGTTGTTCAGTACCACGCCTTCGGTCATTTGACCCCTCTGGACGTGAGAATACTTGACCGAGGGCCAAATATGCAGAACTTAGAAAAAAAAATCCTAAGTGTTGTTTCACCAAGTGGCATTTGAGTAATGTAACCCCCCCGATTTGCATGGGGTAGGAGCCTCCTGGTGACCTCCGTGGGATGGTCGAGGGCCAACCATTTAGGACTTAGAATGTTTTCTAAGTGGTTGGGAATCATCTGGCCTTTTGGCATGGGGAGCCTTCAGGGTTGTAGCCTCTTTAGGTGAGACCTCCCTCGGTCATGACGGTAATCCCGGGGGCACCCACCCTAGGATAGTCTCCTTTGATCCGTGAGCACTGGCCTTCGGTGATATGTAGGAGGTGCCTTCGTTCCTTGAGTAACATATGTGCCTTCGGGATTTGTCAGGTTCCCCCAGTGTCGACTTAGGAATTTTCATAGTCCAAGTATAGTACGAAAAGATAGACGCCCTCGGGAAGTGTTTGGGCGCATTCCCTCGGTGTTTTAGTGAAAATGCCGGGGGCAACTGCTGCTTGAAATGTTGTTGAGTGGACTTAGCCAATTCTATTCCTTTTGTTGGATTAGGGCCTTCGGCGGCAGTGACTTGTCCATTTGTTGATGACATCTGTTGAATAGTAGCCTTCGGGGATTAGCAGCTCCCATGCACTGGAGGTGTTCCCGTGGGGAAGCCATCGGTATGATGTTGAGATTCCTTGTAATGCCGAAGGATTTCCTGTTGTGATTTGTTGAAGTTGTGTACTCATTGATTTCTCGCTGAGTCTACTCCCCTTCACTCCCTCGTTTTTTTTTGTAGTGAAGGGAAGGCTTCAAGAAACTTGGTTTCTTGGTAAGGCTCGGCCTATCGGGAGGCAATAGAATACACCATTAGCTCCCCCCTCGGGTTAACCTTCCGAGTTCCGAGGGGATCGAGGGTCGTTTCCTGGGCATAAGACATAGTTTGTAGCCTGCCTCCCTTTGAGAGATGGCACGGAAAGCGCCTCAATTTTGAAAGTCGTCCCCTCGGTGCCAGACATAGTCTGTGGCCTGCCACACCCTTAGGGTAGTGGCGTGGGGAGCGTTTCGGTTTGGAAGTCGAATCCTGGGCATATTAGATGCTTGCCAATCCCTGGGGGAAATGGCGCGGAAAGTGTTCCGTTTTTTAAAGTCGAATCCTGGGCATATTACTTGCATGTCATGCCCTTGGGGTAGTGATGTGAAAAGCGTTTCAAGGAAGGGTTTTCATTTGCACACTGGTTTCAAATGGCCGGGGGCACTACGTGCTGCCGGCACCGATAGGTGGCGCCTTCGGTATAGTGCATCCTCGAGGGGTACGGCTTTTGAAACAACACTTGGTGTTTGTTTCGGTAAACGACCCCCAATACTTGATACCGGGGAGTCTTCAAAAAACACTGGGTGTTATTCTGATGGTGTTGATGGGGTGTGTAGGTGATTGGAGTGTCTACCCTCTTTACGTATGTTGCAAGGCTTTATCCAAAGATTAGCCAGCACATGTACTAACATTTAATGTATTTACCATTTATTAGTTATTAGCACTATACATAGCATCATTGTGGACTATTGACAAGGTACAAAAATCATTTTAGTTAATTCTGTTAATAGGAGCAAAACATTAAAAAAGTTCCTAAATAAGAGTTTGATGTTTGATAGGACTAGAAAGTGTATGACTTAGACCAAATGACCCTTACTGAAATACGTAGTATTAGTTACTCTGTATATGTTTACAGTTATAAATAAAAATAGAAAACTAAATTAACAAATACCGTAAACGGGTGCATCTAACCCTAGAGCTACTGTGCACCCACCAAGGATGCAGCCACCTAATGTTGTTGCTGCCCTTCCAAGCCGCCTCCCTCCGGCGTCTCAGCCGCCACGACACTCCACCGTCTCTCCCATCGCCGCCCTCTATCATCTCCTTCGACTCCGTCATCAGATTTCGACGTCTACGCCGCCGTCGATCTCTTCCGACAACGACCTCTTCTGGCGATCTACTCTGGCGACGAACCCCACCGTCGAGTTCCTCCTCCAACCTCTGGCTGGAGAGATTGGTAACATAGGTGTCATCTTAGCACTAGAATGTCATCTTCTTGGCATTCATGTTGTATTGACATCTTTCTTATAACAGATTCATACTAAAGCACATGAATATATTGCCATGTTTGTTGGTTTAGTGCCATAAAAGGACAATATTTGCTTAAATGTCAATTTCACAATGAAAAAATTGCACTAAAGTTGTTGTAGTTTAGAAAGACCAAAAATGAAGGAAGAGGGGAAGAGAAGAAGGAAGACATAGAAGAATTGAAGAGGACAAAGAAGAAGAAAAAGAGAAGGGAGAAGAAGAGGAAGAAGCTTACTGGACGATGGTGGTTGTCAAGTGGAGTTGTGTGACTATACAAGGAGGAATTTGAATACGGAGAGAATTTTATCTATCTTTAACAAGGAAGACAGTGACCGAATTCTGAGTATTCCAATCAGCCTCCAAGATAGATGGGATGATTACTGGTGGACAGAGGAAAAAGATGGTTGTTTCATAGTCAAGAGCTGTTATGGGAGCCGCATACACCCCCCCAAATCAAGTATATGGCATGGCAAGTACTGGACGGGTCTTTACCCTTGTTGGAAAATTTGAACAGACACGGGGTGGAGCCGTGGAGGTCCCAACGACATGCAAATTATGAGGTGACGCGGTGGAGTCATCTGACCATGCTCTCAGGTCTTGTGTGAAGGTACATGAGGTGTGGCTTACCACTGGGATTTATGTGGGCAATCATCAAGATACGTTAGAAGATTGGGTGAAGAAGCAAATTGAGGGGCCAAACGCAAAAGACATTTGTAGATTTATTATGTTATTGTGGAGCATTTGGAAGAGACACAATAGTCTGGTTTGGATGGATGAATGGCTCGATTCAGTGGCAGTAATAAATGGGGCGGCACGCATGCTAGCTTCATGGAGGGAGGCTCAAGTAGTGGTGGACCCGGGTTGGGCCGGTACCGGGCCGGGCCTGGGCCCAGGCGGGCTTTTATTTGGGAAAGGGTGAATCGGAACCGGCCCGGGTATAAACCGGGTCCGGGCTGAGCCCGCTTCTATGTTTTTTTTTTTGCTTTCTAATTAACCCCCGACCCCCCTTCACCCCCCAAACACCCAACCCTAACCAAGAAAAACAAAAAAATTGAAAAAAAAAACGGCCTAGTTCAAGAAAAACATGGCCCGAGCCTGGCCCGCTCAACCCGCCCCAACCGGGTAAAAGCCCGGGTCCGGTTAGCACCAACCGGGCCAAGCCGGTTCCGTACTAGGCCAAACCGGATGGGTCCATCCCTAGGCTCAAGAGATAGAGTAAACAGGGGCAATGAGTTGCGTATAAGTGGATTAAGATCAACGTTGATGCTGCGGTGAACATGGTAGATGAGATTAGAGCTTGGGGATGGATCGCACGAAATGATGAAGGTGAATTCATTAAAGCAAGGGGCGAATCCAGAAAGGCAAAATGGTCACCGGCGGAAACTGAGGCTATGGGATTGGGCATTAGACTATTAGAGAAGTCATCGAGGTTGCTAGTAGGGAAGGTTAGAATGAAGTCATCATAGAGACGGATGCTCAGTAGATTGTGCAAGGAACAAGAAGAGGAGAGAGGAATTCCTACACAGACTGACAGACCTAGTAGTGGATGACGTTCGTCACATAATTAAAACAAATAGCAACATTAATATCTCTTTTTGTAAACCGTTTGCAAATTGTGCTGCTCATGCTTTAGCAAGGGCTCACATGTCTATCTCATATCATAGCAGTACTTTTGATGCTATCCCTGATTTTATTGTAAGCCATGTGGCTAACGATATGTTTTTATAATAGTAAGGTGGTTTTTCGTTCAAAAAAACTACATAGTATAATAAAAGTATCCCAGAAGTTAAAAAAAGTGTATATTTATACAGAACATAAAATAAATGTGCACAGCTTTTAAGTAATATAATATGATAAGCCAAGAGATGATCATATTTTTAATGATCAGACCTACCTCTAGCACAAGTCAATGCAAAGCCAAGTTAAGGCAAACAATTACATACGAAAAATAAAGGGAAATAACTTACTTTGGGGGTGGCACTGTGGTGCATTATATCAGAGAATAGACCATGGAAGTTAAAATAAATTAAAAAAATAGAAAACCTATGCATTGCAAAGTCAAAATTTCCAAAACTCAAGTGGACAGGCAAATGCAGTGCGTAAGAAGAAAGTAATCGAGATTAAGCATTGATCTTAACAACAATGGAGATGCACATATGGCCGTCTCACATGATTTAATCATTTAGTAAATTTTATAAAAGCTTTAGGAAGAAAGGATCTCACTCTGTGTGTGTGTGTTTTATAATAGCAATATGTAAGACTCCATAAACATAGCTGAAAGAGAGTCGAATTCTACATCAAAAAGATGTGTTGACACTTGACATTAAACATAAAGCAGATGTTACAGGTCGATTAGTTGCTTGATCAGAAATGCATTCGATGGCTTCGCACAAATGCAGGATTATGCTGTTAGAAGAGCTTGCCTTGCTGTTTGGTTCCTGATCTCATCATTGTGCAAAACTCTTCATAGTTAATTCTTCCATCCTGGACATTTAAGAAGAGAAATTAGCATGTTATATTTTACATTTGTTCAGAAGTTTTAAATCGTGAAGAGGCGATCACATACATGATCGGTGTCTACTTCAGATATTATTTCCTGTATACACTCTTCATCCGCTATTCCATGTTCCTTCATAGCCGTCTCTAGTTCATCTCTTGTGATAAATCTATAATGATGGTCAAGAAGTTCCTCATCTAAAACAACTCAAACTCATCGTTGGCATCAAAATTATTATATAAATAATTATATAACACTCAATGAGTTCCGAATTGAAAATTTCCATATCCAGTTCTTTGACTTTCATAAGAGTGGCTCTGTTGGTCATTCAACTATTATCACATTTTTAGTCTTCCTTCATCTACTTATGAGTTTTTTCCACTTTTAGTTCTCCGACTATTATGTCATTGACACTTTTTGTACTCGACTTTGATTTTTTCCACTTTTAGTGCTCGACTATTGTGCTAGAGACACTTTTGGTATCCGTTTTTGAAAGTTTCCATAATTAATCCTCCGACCTTCATAAAAGTGACACTTTTGATCCTTCAACTATTATAATAATGACATTTTTAGTCTTCCACTTATTGTGTCAAAATCATAGCGGAAGGATCAAAGTGTCAATTTGATAATACTCAGGGGACTAAATGTGATAAACTTTGAAGTTGAGGACTAAAAGTGTTTCAAGTACAATAGTCGAGGCTAAAATTGAAAAAATTAGAAGTCGAGTCCAAAAATTGTCAATGACACAATAGTCGGGGGACCGAAAATGGTAAAAACTCTCTACTTATTGTGTCAAAGTCATAGTTGAAGGATTAAAAGTGACGATTTGACAATGCTCAAGGACTAAATATGGAGAATTTTGAAGTCAAGGATTGAACGTGTCTCTCGCACAATAGTAGCACTAAAAATGGAAAATTAAAATTCAGGTACCAAAAATGCTTCAAACATAATAGTGGGGATTAAAAGTGGAAAAACTCTAGAAAAGGGGTAACATTTGTAAAAAGGGAGGGGATCTGAATTATTTTGGGAGGGAACTTCAAAATTTAGCTCAATTATAAAGGAGTATTTGTGTTGTACCAGTAGTGTGTAACGTAATGATGTGATTACTAATGATTCCTTTATCCCATTCACCCTTTGTTGTTGGCTACTACATCTTTTTAAGTGCAATTTTGGAAAGCAACTTATTTTTAATCCTGTGTAAAAATCTGAAAGCCAAATCAGGAACTTGATTTTGGGAAGGAGGAAGTATTAGGGAAGAGTTTTTCAACTCACTTTTAATCTACTGACTTTGTAATAGTGACACTTTTTTGTACTCATCTTTAAACTTTTACGTATTTAATCCTCTAAATATTGTGATAAACACTATTGTCAAGAAAGTGTCCACTTCTATTCCTCTGAATATTGTGACCATTACACTTTATCTTCTATTCCACTCCAACCAAAGTTGGGGAAAAAAGTTGAAACACAAGTGTCAATGTCATATTGATGAGAGGGACAAGAGTTGTTAGTGTCGTACGTAGTATTAATTAGAGGAACAAAGTATCCTCATTAGGAAAATGTCATCATCACAATAATCAAAAGACTATTGTGGGAAAAATCTCAAGAAAATTAATATAAATACTGCGTAATATGAACTTCGATGAAATTTGTAAATATATAACTTTTAACTTATATCTATATATATCCAATTGCTGCCCATAAGACACATGACCATCTGATATGGCATAACGTTGTTGGTTAGGCAGACAGTGGCTAACTATCCCAATGTTAAGCAGGTGTAGCATCATTTTGCACTGCTTTATGTTTAGTGCTTAGTTATGCTGACCACCTTGATAAATGGACCGTTAGCCACATTGGCAGTCACATTACTAAATGACACCATGTCAACATGCCAAGTCAGATGCAGCACGTTTGTTGTGAAGAAGGGGTATATTTGAAACAAAAACGTTAGGCAATATCTGAGTTATATTGCAAAATTTGGAACTTGAGGATAGATTGGAAAATTTGGCCAAAGTTCATGATATTTGAGATCATGTTCCATTAATACTATTATTATTCCCTCCGTCTCATCTTTGTCTCATATTTCCTTTTTTATCCTCTTTACTAAGTTTATTTCATACTATATTTGATAAATTTGTGTGTCTTCATAATCACATCACTCCCAATCTCAGTGGGATAGGATGGAGGTAGTATTATTATACTTCTAAGCATAGCATTTACGTACCCACTGCTATCTGTATCGAAATACTGAAATGCTTTGTACATATTTTCTTCCCTTTCTAGCCTGTGCTTGTGCATCGTTGCGGTGATGAACTCACTGTAGTCTATGGAGCCGTTTCCATCAACATCAGCCTGCAAGTATACAAAAGTAAAAAATACTTGCAATGAAGATTATCAAATCATTTTAAACCGGAAATTTTGAGTAGTTTCTCAGGGTATGTATATTCATATCTTACAGCTTCAACCAACAGCTTGGCTTCATCCTCCGTGAGCTTCGACCCAAGCTGAGCTAATCCGGTCTTCAGTTCATCATATGTAATTGTACCGCTGTTGTCCGTGTCCATATTCATGAACATCGCTTTCAGTCCGTGAATTTCTTCTTCTGAGAGATTTTCTGCTATCACCTGTAATCCAAAAATTGCTTCAGTTAGATTACAGGACATACCCAACAAGCCTCAAACATTAGGGCTTATTTTCATATCAAATAAGCCACATTTGGCTACCAAATGGGCTCTTATTCCTGTGATAAGCGAAGTACGCAGAATAATGTTTCTAAAGGGTCATAACGGCGAAAATAAGCTGATGGATCCAAAAGGAGTTCGGGGGGATAGTAGGGGTCTGTTTGAGTAAAAAAAGAAGATATGCAATGGGAACCTAACTCCTAGTCTTGGATTTTTAGGACATACTACGTAAATGTTGGGTGTTTGTGTTAGGGATATGACTACTTATAGTAATAAGGATAGATACTAGAAGAAATAAGTAGAATAGTTGTTAATAGTTGTTTTTCGTTAGTAGCTATTAACTAAAGTCAGTTGAGTTGTAATACAATAAATAGTAGTAAGCTGGATATTGTGAGGAGGCTGTTTTTCTGACTTTAGTTATTCAGGGGGGCTTCGGCTCATTGTTACCTTGTTGCCTTGAGAAATAAAGTTTACGCAGATTTCTTTCTTGTAGAATTTCTGTGAATTGTTTGTAGAATTTGCAGAGTTCTAACATTGGTATCAGAGCACGTTACTTCCTGGAGACGGAGAATCGAAATCATGGAGGATTTCTACAGGACACCGCAAATGGCAAAAAGAATGGACAATCTGAATCGACGGAGGAGACGAATGCTAGGTTGGAAAGTTTCTTGCGTGAATGTGAGCGTCCAACACAGGGCTTCCACCGATCGAAGAACAGCATCATCGGCAATCTGACAAACAGAGTTCATCGCTCACCTGTTCGCAGAAAGAATCGCGAACTGTTTCTTCTGTTTCGCACTCACGAAAGGCGTCGCGCGGAAAAATGGGGAAGATCGCGGAGAAGGTGGAGCGCGGAAAAATAGCTAAGGAGAAGTATACGAAGAGCAAAGAAAATGTAGAAAGGGATGAGGCAAAGGAAAGGAGGACCGGATTGGAGGAGTTGCGCACCATGCTGCGGCCACAACCTCGTTGGCGAGGAAGATCGAGGACTGTGCGTCGCTGCCGGAATTCCAAAAGTAAGAGTTCGTTGCAGTCGCCATTAGCTCTTTCCTATTCGCAAACTGTGTTGAACGTAGAAGATCACAGATCGAAGTCACCAGTTTCTTCCATGTCAGATTTGTTGACTTTGCAAGTTTATCAACTTGCGAAAGATTTTCCCCAATCAATAAAGAAGACCGTGATGGAGCCAACTGAAGCAGTAATCAAGAAAATAAATGACAAAATCGAGGAGCAAAGATCGGTTAGTTCCTTGCCAGATTACGTTTTTCCTAATCTTACAGATGATGTGGGTTTAATTTCCAGCCAAGTTTCTATTCTGGATCTGCTTACCCACCCATGTTCCTTTGAAAGTAGAGTCCTAATTGCTTTTGAAACGGTTCTTGTCAAAAGACAACAACCTCCACAACCAAAGGAATTTTTTTAGAAAATTCATGCCTGGAACAAAAGAGGTCTGGTCCAGTGGTTCATAAGGATCATGTTTATATTTTCTCGGGAGATTCTGTTATCATATGGGGAAAACGTCCAATGATTCATGATGATGAAAAATCTAGCCATTTCCAAAATCTTGACAGAAATTCACTGATATTTGCAACTTTAATGGTCAAAAACTTGGCAGGTTATTTACCTGCTGTGGTATCCAAATGGGTACAAGACAAGTGGGTAAATTCTTCAGACTATGGTACGATAGTGGATTACCTAACTGAGAAATCAGTTATGCAAGTTGCAGAAATACAAGAAACCGAATTGCAGTCATGGGGTGAGAGCAGGTTAAGCTACCCCCAGCTTAGCTTACATAATCCATTCAAAGCAACTGAAAGATATCTCATGAGGGGAGACATTTCTGCAAAGACAGATGGAGCAATTAATGAAATGGTGATGATAGAAGGAAATGAAGTTATAATCAGAATGGGGATCCACAGAATTATAACTGCACTGGGTGCTGTAGGAGTTGACTTTGTATTCTCATGCACAAGATGTTGCTCAGTTTCTGTGTTGGATCACACTGACAAAGAGGATCAGGGCATGAACATAAATTTTACTAAGGGTGTAGGTGATACACCTCAGGAAGAAAAGGAAATACTTGTGGCTATGGAAGGCTTAAAAGCTAGTGAAGAAAATGAAACTTCACCAGAAATATTCTATGCTGCAGAAAAATCTGGGAGTGGGAAAGATTATGTACTAAACTACTAAAGCTATTTGCTCTGAAACAAGTGAGATATTGGGAAGGTAGAAGCGCAAAGAGGAAGAGGAAGAGGAAGTATAAGATTTTGGCAGTTTCCTATCACCCACCTTGAGGGTAAGGTGGATGTTTAGGGGGGGAGTATTGTTAGGGATATGACTACTTATAGTAATAAGGATAGATACTAGAAGAAATAAATAGAATAGTTGTTAATAGTTGTTTTCCGTTAGTAGCTATTAACTAAAGTCAGTTGAGTTGTAATACTATAAATAGTAGTAAGCTGGATATTGTGAGGAGGCTGTTTTTCTGACTTTAGTCATTCAGGGGGGCTTCGGCTCATTGTTACCTTGTTGCCTTGAGAAATAAAGTTTACGCAGATTTCTTTCTTGTAGAATTTCTGTGAATTGTTTGTAGAATTTGCAGAGTTCTAACATTGGTATCAGAGTAACAAGTACTAACCGAGTTATAGCTGAGTACTCGCCAATTAGATAAAATAGGAAGAAACTAATCTATCTCTGCATATCATTCATTTACCACAGTGAGTGATAGATGGACACCTTTGAGTAGGATTGGAAATTGTATAATATGTACAAAAGTGCAATGCTTTTCAGATTTACCTTGAGGGCAAGTTTTTTCAGTTTGTTCATTGCTCTGAATTGCTTCATTCTTGAGAGGACAGCGTTATCTATTGGTTCATCAGATGCTTCTCCGCCTTCTCTCATCCATGGATGCTCTGACACATTTCCATATCATAGGGTTTTTAAGACAACAACAACAACATCCAAGCCTTAATCCTAAAAGAGTTTGGGGTCGGCTAACACGAACCAACATATGAGATCAGAGGTGTAGTATACAAAGAGATCATCCTCTACCCGTTTTTTATCTCCCTCCATTTCGCTCTCCCCAAAGTCATACTTTCATCCAAGAAATACAATATGAGGCTTTAAGACAAAAGGAAGAAAAAAATCCTACGTAGTATATGACTAGGCAAATATCAGGCAACCAATATTGAATTCAAAACAAACCACATGTACTCACAAACCATTATATTGACTCGAAATCAATAAATTTAATTTAGATATTTGTTCAAATTCATTTAAGTTTGTTTTACTACATAAAAACTTAGAAATCTAGTATTTTTATAAAACATCTTATAAAGTAGTCATTTTTTATTTTCTATTGCAATTTCTGGTATAGCACCAAACATAAGAAGTAATTGTTCATAGCAATTTCATATTAAAGGTCATATTGATTAATTTATGCTAGAAAAATAGGGTGACAACAATAAGCTAGACAGTAATATCGTTTTCCTTTTGATAGTAATTACTCTCTGGTCTCTTATGCATTCATTTGATGAAACTGAATTACTGATAATTAAGTTTGGAATAACAAGAATTCACCCACAGGAATTAAACAAAACACACGTCCACAGTCCCACATTATAATAGAGGCCTGTAATACATCAAATTTCAAGAATTGAGAACTCCCTTGAATTCGGATTCTAAACGTGTGCATATGACATGATTCCCTAGAATTGAGTTCCTATCTAAATGAAGCTCCTACACACTAGGAAACATACCCAGCACCTGAGTAGCAGTAAGGCGTCTTTGTGGATCACGTGTGAGCATCCCTTGTACCAAATCCTTGGCACTACTCGATATGGAAGGCCATGGTTTTGTTTCAAAGTCCAGCTCTCCTTTACGTATGGCATCAAAGATCCCCCGCTCAGTTTCTGCATAAAACATTTACTAAAGAACCGTAATAAGTCCTAAATACAATCAAGCAAATTTATGTGGTTCCTATGAACAAGATGAGGCTGTTTAATATGTGCATTTTACCGTCCCAGAAAGGAGGAACACCACTGAGTAGTATATACAATATAACACCTGCACTCCAAACATCAGCTTCTTTCCCATACCTCCTTTTTAAGACTTCAGGAGCAACATAGTAAGCACTTCCCACCATATCCTTATACACCTTCCCTGTGAATGATTTATTGCAAAATGACAAAAGATCATGACTATTACAAGAGAGTGAGAGACATTATTAAGATTTGGGATCACATCCATGTAGAGGCTCGAAATTTTATGCATTCATGTACATATTTTATTTTTCCTCGAGGTGGGATGATTTAACAGACATAAATATATAGTACAACTCATGCTAACATTTTAGAAATTAAAAAAATGATTGAAGGATATTTAAATTCAATGTTAACTAAACAGGGAACCAGACTTGTTTGAGTCAATGTTCTAAAAAGACGTTATGCAGGCTCAAGAGTCAAGACTATTAATACTTGGGTTCATCCTAAGAGGTTAATAATGAGTGCATAATTGAATCCTAAGAGTTCATAGGAAGTCAATAATCCAATATCACCGCAAAAGAGAGGAAAGAAAAAAATCAGCAAATTACACACGCAAATCATACAAAGAACAGAAAGATGTTTGAATACTTCTTCTGCACAACGAAGTTTTTGAACTCCTCCACAAAGAAGTTGACAACTTTTTACAAACACTCCATTCTTCTAGGTATCTTCTCTTCTCCTCGTTTGCTCCACCTCTTCTTCTGCATCTTTTTTCCTTCTTCATCGCTCTCCTTCACATCTTCTCCTTCTCTCCTCTCCTTCTTGTACTGAGTTGTTGGTCATGTTTTCCTAGAACTAGTCAAGGTTTTATAAGAGATTGAAAGATAGACACCGTAAATTAAGATTACTAACCAATGATGAGGAAAATTGTTAGGTTAATGATTTGTCATCTGATGATGAACAGTTTCTGATAGGGTGCTGAAATATCAGAGCCGCAAGAAACTAGGAACAGCTGACTGAGTCTTCATTTATTTATTTATTATTGTTTATTTGTTTAAATGAGTCTGTTAGAGAAATAAGTGGGGTTTGGTGTCATGCATCAGTCCACTAGGGCAGTTATTAGATCATGGATGACGTCAGTTAATGTGTCAGACTGTCAGTTAGTTATTAGATCATGGATAAGTCAGTTATGCGTCAGTTGTATTTTCTTCTTTATAAATAGCCTAGCCTTATTCAGGTTGGGTATGCAAAATCAATATTAATTTCAGACTTGGAGATTCTCCCTTTGGCTTCTACTATCGCTCATTTGTGAGATACTTACTGTGAGAGAGAAAGTAGGAGAGTTTAGCCACTCAATTCTTAGCCTCTGATTTCTGGGTTCTATCAGTTTCTGTTCATATTTGTGTTTGTGACTTTTTGGATTTATAATTGTGCATTTCTTTAGTTGTTTATTGTAAGTTTAATTATTTTAAGTTTTACCTGTTGGTATTTTAAGATTTACCTATTGGTTTTATGTTTGGGCGCTCAAGTTGTGGAGAAGTATAGAGACACTACAAAAAATCTACGTTAGGTGTTCATTGACTTAGAAAAGGCATATGATATGGTACCTTTGGTGGACCTTAACTAGAAACGGCATATCACGTAAGTATATCAGTATCATCATGGATCCGTATGAGGCTTGTACTACAAGCGTCCATACTAGTGTACGGAGGACTACAGAGTTCCCTATTACTATCAGAGTGCACCAAGGATCCGCTTTTAGTCCTTTGTTATTTGATATATTCATCGATGAACTTACGAAGTTAATTCAACTTATTCAAGAAGATATACTATCCTCCGTATCACATTAGTTGCAACATTGGAATATATACACTATTCATGTACTTTACTTTGACTACATTTTATTTATTAATGTATGTGAATTTTTTTTGGAAAAATATTGTTAAATTCATCTCATTACTAAGTTTTATAATCTGATTTTTATTTTATTTTTACTAATACGGAATTAAATATAATGACAGTCAAATTTGTGCGTTGGCAAACGTGAAAAAGGGAATGTTGCAATTAAAAAGAGACGGAGGAAGTACCATGGTGCATGATGTTTGACGACGACATTGTATTGATTGATGAGACGCAATCGGGTGTTAAAGGAAAGTTTGAAGTATGGTGACAAACATCGGAGACCAAGGTTTTCAGACTAAGCCAAACTAGACTGAGTATATGGAGTGCAAGTTTGGTGGAGGTAGAAGTAGTAGTAATAGTGAGATTACCCTTGATGGTAAGTATATACCGGTGTGTGATATGTTCTATTTCTTGGGCTCCATAATTCAGAAAGAAGGTGAATTGGTTGGAGATGTATCCTATAGAATCAGAGCACGGTGGATGAAATGAAAGAGTGCATAGGATTTCAACGTGATCGAGGTATGCCGACTAGACTGAAGAGTAAATTTTATGGGACAACAATAAGGTATGTATTAATAATGTATGGCGTGCAGTGTTGGGCTGTGAAACAATGTCACATTCAAAAGATGAGTGTGGTAGAGATGCGTATGTTGTGGTGAATGATTGGACATACCAGACAAGACCGCTTGAGAAATGAGATAATCAGGAAAAGGTGAGAGTAGCACCTATAGAAGATAAGATGCATGATTCTCGATTGCATTGGTTTGATCATGTGCGTAGAAGACCGAGTAATGCAGTTGATAGGCGACTTGAGAGGTGGGAAGAAGAGGCGAGGAGGAGAGGGTGAGGAAGATCCAAACATAGATTAGAGGAATCAGAACTGATATGCTTCTCTTAGGTTGGATGAGAATGGCTTTGGAGAGAGCAAAGTAAAGGGCACATATTCGTGTGGATGATTGATCTATTTTCTCTTTCCTCACATTTTCTTTTATCTTTTATCTTCTTTATTTTTCTATGTTCTTATGTTATTTTTATACTAGTATTTCTTATGCTTTTTTATCTTTTTATCGTTTATCTTTTTCTTATGTTCTTATGTTATTTTTATCTTATATTATCTTTTGGCTTGAGAGTATGATGGAATAAAGCAAAATGGCTCACTAAACCGTTTGCGCTTCTTTGTTATGAAGCAGTAGTCAGTTCATGCAATTTTCGACGCAATTTTCACTGTGGGTCATCCGGAAACAGTCTCTTTGTGTTTTAGCACAGGGGTAAGGTTGCGTACATCCGACCCCCCTTACCTCACTATAGGTAAGAGCCTTTGCGGCACTAAGGTAATGATAATGATGATCTTTATCTTATCCATTTTATCTTACATTATCCTGTTATTCTTCTTATCTTTCTTTACTTTTTGGCTCTGATGTCATGAATCGATTCATATTAGTCGACCCCAAAATCATTTGAGATTAAGGCTTGGATTTTGTTGTTGTTCTTGCCTATCAGGAACAAATCGTCTTGATACCCGAACTACATTTTTTAAATCTAGTCCACTTTATTGATAAACTTGTGGAGAAGTATAAAGAAACGAAAAAGGGTTTGCATTTGGTGTTCATTGACTTAGAAAAAGGACATAAAAAGTACTACAGAAGTTCTTTGGTGGGAAATGATCATTAACTAGAAAAGACATATCACGTAAGTATATCAACATCATATAACTAGAAAAGTCCTTGTATAACGATTGTACTGCAAGTATTTGAATTGTTGTAGGAAGGACTGCAGAGTACCCAAATACTGTCGGAATGCACCACGGATCGGCCGAGTCTTTTCTTATTTGTCATTCATGAATGAGTTACGAAGTCAGTTCAAGAAGACATACCATGGTGCATAATGTTTTCCTATAATAATGTGTTGATTGATGAGACAAGGTCAATTGTTAAAGTGAAATTGGAATTGTGATGACAAACCCTGGAGGTCAGTGTTTTAAGCCGAGTCGAAGCATGACTGAATATATGGAATGCAATTTTAGTGAATAGAAACAATGGTAAAAATGGATTTACTTTGAATGTTAAAAAGACCACGGTTAGTGATATGGCTCGTTTTTGGGCTTCAAAATTTAAAAGAACGGTAAATTAGATGAAGATGTATCTCAAACAATCAAGACATGGTGGTTAAAATAGAAAAATGTACCAGGATTTCTATGTGATCAAGGTATGCCGACGAAACTGTAAGATAAGTCATATCGAACAACAATTAGATATGCGTTATTTTGTAGCATAAAGTGTTAGGCAGTGAAACAATGTATTCAAAAGATGAGTGTTTCTAAATGGACACGTTGTGTTGGAAATTTAGGCATATTAGAAAAGACCACTTGAGGAATTAGATAAAAAAGCAAAAAGTGAGAGTATAACCTATTGAAGATAAGATGTGACAGACAGTTGCGGTTGTTTGGCTATGTGTGTGTATAAGACTATGTGATGCACCTGTTAGACGAACTAAGGGGTGATAAGTGAAGGCATGGAGGAGAGGGAGAAAGGATAGGGATGAGATGACCTAGACAGATACAGATTAAAGTGGTCAAAGTGATATGGTACTTCTTTAATTAGATGAGAGTATGACTTGAAGGAGGGAGCCAAATGCGTTTATTAGAAATTAGGTTTCCAACTTTCCGTCCTAACTTAATATGAGTACAATGCTTTATAAGTTGGGTATATTTTGGATTATTTTCAAGGATGGGTTTAGCTCATATGCAAGTGCAGGCGGGGCTTAAAATATGTTGGCACGGTAGTTCAGTTCATCACATTGTCGGCTGAAATCCTCCCCCTTTAAAGTTAAATCCAACTCTTTAACTTACTAGAATAATCTAAACATGTGGTATCATTACAAATGCACACAAGAAATTTAGTTATAATGTAAAGATATTTATTAGCTAGCAAAGGCACAATTATTATTGAGCAACTGACCTTCTTCAATGAACACCGATAGGCCAAAATCAGTAGCTTTGAGGGCGGCGTTTTGGCTCTTATCAGACAACAAGAAATTTTCAGGCTTCAAATCTCTGTGCATCACACCCATAAAATGGCAAGTATGGACAACATTCACTATCGACCTACAAATAGAGGCAGCCGCCCGTTCACTGTAATGCCCCTTAGCTATGATCCTATCAAAAAGCTCCCCACCAGCACATAGCTCCATCACAAGATGCACCGAATTGCTATCCTCATAAGCCCCTTTGAATTCAACAATATTAGGTTGACCCATCAAATGCTGCATGATCTTAATCTCCCTCCTCATGTCATCCTTATCGCCCTTGGTCACAAGCTTTTTCTTGGGAATTGACTTACAAGCATAGTGTTGACCAGTTCTAATCTCGGTGCAGAGATATGTAACGCCGAATTGACCCTTACCCAGTTGTTTACCCAGAGTGTAGTGTGACCTAACATCTTCATAAGGCTTACCGAGAATGGAATCGGACTTGGGTTCCAGTTTCCTGGTCGGCGGCTGTGGCCGTGAAGGGAATCGAGCTTCTGGGTGCGCAATGTGAGTCTGATGAGTTGATCTGTGGTTCCCGTTAGTCTGTGATTCAGCAGCATGACTGCTTCTGCTTGTACGATTACCCATCAGGATTTGGATTTGGCAACAGCCCAGGGCGAGCTTTTCACAGAAGAGGAAAAAAAGAATTGGACTTTTTTGCAGATATTCACAGTGGGTAGATGGATTCAACTTGGGAAAACCCGATCTCTTGAGGGTTGAATGAGAAGAAACGGCAGGATTGGCGGTCAGTTGATTCTAAGTTGAAACGCGCAGTTGAAAAAAAAACAAGAAAAAAGATCACCGGTTGTGTGTTGAAGCTTGAAAGAGAATTGTCCTGACGAAATTAGAGGATTGTCCTGACGCTATATGCCGCCGGGAAGTCGGACGCGGAGAGCGCGCTTCCACGAAAAAGTAGGTGGGCAGAGAAAGAGATATTATACTCGGTAGAGGAATGGCGCATTCTTTCAATTTCAACGGCACTGTTTCCTTTCACAAGAGTGGGAAAAATAGATCAGAATAAAAGAGTGGGCAATTATTTAAGCGTATGGGTTACACGTTCTCACCGTGTATATGTGGGAATTATCTCTATGCACTTTAATTCTACTTTTTTAATAAATTTGTTCCAAAAGGTTAGGAGCCGTGACCCCCTTTTTCGGCTTATCAGGCTTATCGGTCGGTTTTTTAACCAAACACGTAATTTTTGATTTCGCGCGTTGAAGTTTGTAATAAGTAGAAAAAGTAAGATTGAAGTTACTTTTGTGGCTGTTTTGGCTGAAGTTACTGTAGAGGATCATTTTAGCTATTTTTTCATATAATTTTTTATTTAATTTATTAATAACAAATATTTTAAATATAATTTTTTCATGAATCAGCAGAATCAGCCAATACAACCACTTCAGCCAGAACTTCATAAATTTCAGCAGAATCAGCCAATTCAGCCAATTTTAGTGTTACCAAACGGGCTCTAGATTAATGCTCATTGCAAGTCACTGCTTATACCGTGGTACCGGTGCATGGTGAGCACCATGCACCCTTTGTTATTTTTTATTTCTCATTTTCTTAAAATTGTTAATAATTTTTTTATTTTTGATCCGATTTTTATAAAATTTATACCAAAAATTTTTATTTTTCATGATCTTTCAAATGAGACCAATATTGCCTATGTAATTTTAATTTTTTACATTCATACATTTTTTGTAATATATTTTTATATGCATACACTTTTTCTATAATATATTTTTTTATCACTTTTATATGATTTAGAGGTTTTTAAGATATTGAGTTTGTTTATTTTGCTTCTAGCTTGGAGTTACATTTGATAATATACGAAGTTACATCATCTTATACTCCAGTTACAAATTATTATGTGTGAGTTACATCTTGTTATTTGTGAGTTACATTTTGCTATACATGAGTTACATACTTTTATGCGAGAGTTACATGTAATTATGTGTGAGTTACATGTAATTATGTGTTACATCTTGTTATACACGAGTTACATACTTTTATGCGTGAGTTACATGTAATTATGTGTGAGTTATATCTAATTATTTGTGATTTTTTACTTATCTTTATCTTGAACTAATTCAATTATAACTGAATTATTTTTTTTCTCTGCCAATTTATTACAAAATTTTATTAATCCACATAAAATAAGTATATTGTATTTCATATTCATACACTATTTTTCAAATGATAAAAATGAAAGATGTAGCAGAGGTTTATTTCATGGTGTAACTCACATACATTAAGATGTAACTCGTGTATATTAAGATGTAACTTGCGTACAATAAGATGAAACTCGCGCAGAAAAAGATGTAACTTCATGATACATTATCAAATGTAACTTCAAAATAATTTGTTAAAATTACATAAGCAATATTGGTCTCATTTGATAGATCATGAAAAATAAAAAAAAATTGATATAAAATTTATAAAAATCGGATATCAAATAAAAAGTTATTACAATTTTTAACAATAAAAGAAAAAAAAATAATGAATGCTGCGTCGTTTTGGGATGAGGTGCACCATCATCATGATGCGCCGATCTCAGAGTATAAATTGCGATTGCAAGTTCACCTAGATGTTATTCACACACTCCCACTTGCATAACTCCATCCTAAATCACTTGTTCCAAATTTTACTCATATGACCAACTGAGTTGTCCATGTGTACTTTTTTAACAAATTGTTTGTATAAACAGACGATTACCTAGAAGTGCATAAAAAGTGCACAAATGATGTGTATAAAAGACTTTTTCCGATGGTTCAATATGTCTCACTTATTTAACTTTTTACCTAAATATAAGTATAAAAATGGGAGAACTATCAAATAAGCCCTCGAACTTTCATAAAAAGTGCAAATAAGCCCCTTTATCGGAGGCTCTGTCCAGCCGTCACCATTTGGGCGGTTTACGGCGGGATTTTTTGATGAAATTTTTTTAGTATCTTATTCATTAAGTCTAGTTTATTCGAACCAAATTTCAGATAAAAGTTCAATCGGGAAGGCTGTCAAATGATTTTTTGAAGATAACTGCGCAGTTAGACAGCGTAATATGTTTCAAAAAATCATTTGACTGTCTTCTCGATTGAATTTTTAGCTGAAATTTGGTATGGGTAAACTAAACTTAATGAATAAGATTCTCAAAAAAAATCATCAAAAAATTCCACCGTAAACCGCCCCAAATTGCGACAGCCGGACAAAACCTTCTGTAAAAGGGCTTATTTGCACTTTTTATGAAAGTTCGAGGGCTTATTTGATAGTTAACTTTTTACCTAAATATAAGAATAAAAATTAAATGAAGAGAGAATATTATCCTCAAATTTCAAATTACCACATCTCACTACCCTATTAAAATTGTGACAATGACAACTTCATTGTAAATCTATGTCATTTTTTTGTCAACTTTAACACTCATTATTAAAATTGTGACAATGACAACTTCATTGTAAATCTTATGTCATTTTTTGTCACAGTGGCAAACCAATTTATTAGAATAAATTGTAGGGAGACTAGGTCAATACCTACCAAATAGGAGAAAGACTCGACGAATATAAGGATATCAAGAGAGTCCAACTCAATAAGAGATAAAATAGAATTGGAAAGACTGAGTTTCTTGTTGAAAATTTTAAGTTGACTAAGATGTATGCCATCTTGGGCCAAAGCATGATTTGCTGAATTAGTGTCCCTGTAGATACATATCTGCCACACGCTCAACTCCTCACAGATCTTCTGAGGTCTGGTTTGTTTAATCGTATGCACTAGATGGAAAGGTGATCTTTAAGCACCTTTAAATTCAAAGCCTTTATAACTGTTTTAGAACCAGTTTCAAGCTAAAGGTCTTAAAAGCCACGATCTTTCTAAAATATACTACCTCCGTAACAGATATATCTTCCCATTTAAGTAGGTGAGATTAAGAATATTGAAAGGAGATATAAATTATTGAGGGTATGATGTGAAGATAATGAAATAGTATGTTGGAATGAATGATAAATCCAAAAAAAAGTAGTTGTAATAGTGTATTATTTTTAAAATTATTGAGGGTATGATAGGAAGATTTAGAAATGGGAAGATATGAATTTTACAGCTAAAAAAGAAAGTGGGAAGATATGAGTGTTACGGATGGAGTATCATTCTTGATGATGTTTATTACAAAACTTTATCAATATATTACGGGGGGCGCATGAGTGAGGACAAAGTGCGCGTTAAATGCTCGTGGTGGTTTTTGAGGACAGTACTAGAGGTTTGGAGAGGTCTAGAGTAACTACCTGGGGGTCCTGCGGGGCCGAATGTTACAGGTGGTATCAGAGCAACATTGCGATAGTGTGTTGACCCGTTGGATATTGGGCGGGCACTTAGCGGGGCAAGATTCTAGAGTTTGATTGAGAGTGTTAAGGGCGCAACGAGGACATTGCGATCCTAAGTGGGGTGATTGTAATACCTGAGATTAATTTAAGAGGATTAATAGTACTATTCATATCAACAGAGGTGCATCTCCTTTTAAGGGAGCTCATCATCCAAGAACTCCAAAGTTAAAGCTCACATGAGCGAGGACAAAGTGCGCGGTAAAGGCTCGTGGTGATTTGTGAGGACAGTACTAGAGGTTTGGAGAGGTCTAGAGTAACTACCTGGGGTCCTGCGGGACCGGAGTGTTACAAATTAAGAAGCCTAGGGCTATTTTTACAAATTAGGCCTTACATTTCAACACTAATTTTCACCTTAATCTTGAGATTTTTTGATAAATAATATTTCAAGAGCTCTTGTTTGAGACTTAGAATGTTTTTATTTGAACTGAAATTTTTTGGTCTTTTCTGGGAAATGTCTAGTCTCTGTGGATTTTATTACTATCCAAATCTGATCTGGTCTAGGGTTGAAAACGTTGGGTGTGTTTCGGAAAAAACGAAGAAAATATTAATTAAATAAAATTAATTAATAAACAAAATAGGTAAAAGAAAACAGAAAATAAGATGGAGCAGATTTTAGCTAGAGCTCGTGCTACGCACGATGTCCTTAAAACGTATTTGTCGCCTCCCACGGTGCTAGGAGCGTTGCAATGACCGTTTCCCAGGATACGGTGGCTAACGAACGATCGTTTGAGCACACAAACGAAAGTCCCGGCGAACTGGAACAATAGCAGAACACTAGGGAAATTTGGGAGTAGCTGGAAGTGTTTTTCCCTCAAGAAAACGTGAGGAATGTATTGTGTGTTGTCAAACCGTGTGTTTGTTGCAAAGCACCTGCCAGCTATTTATAGGAGGATTTGTTGTGTGTTAAATGGGGTGTTAATGGACCTGAACGTTGGACATCAATGACCAGTCCGTTGGGCATTGAATCGTCCATAAACTGTCCATTTAACGTAGCATTAAAAGAGAAGAACGTTGGGCATTAATTGTTGTAACGGAAGAATTGCGCGACAGAAGACCCCAACAGAACACCCCCTTTGAGGGGTTCTGCCCGAAGCCAACAGAACACCCCTTCGGGAAGAAAATAAAAATAGACCGTATATTTGAATGATAGGTTTTCGGACGACATTCGTGTCCGCAGGTCGCCCGCGCACACGAGTTGCGATTTTTCTTCTCCGTTTCGGGATTTGATCGGCACCCCCCCTGCGTGTAAGAGAGAGCCTTTACCCTTAGGAATCTTAACTCCTTAAAAGAGGCTTCCCTTTATAAGGGGGTGAAAATCCCTTGAGTTTTTCGGTGTGGGATAAAACACACTAGAAACTCACCATTTTCCCAGTTTTTCCATTTCAACGAGTGAACTTCGAAAATCAATTTCTCATTCACCCGTTATCCGTTTTGAGTGTACCACATATCGAATTGTAGCCCTTAACAAGGACAATCCGAAACCACTTTGACCCGACCCAAATCGGAAGTGGAGCCCACTCAAATAATTGCCCCAAAATGACCATTTAATGAAATTTTTAACACATTTTTCCAACAATCCCCCACATGAATGAAAATTGATTTTCGAGACTTAA